AACTCACTCTTCAGATTTGTGTGTTTCATTAAGTGTGTGTGTGTGTGGGGGGGGGGATGACGACAAACAAACAAAACAGAAACAAACCCAAATCTGCAGCCTCTGTAAGTGTGTGGCTTCTGTAGTCTGAACCTAAAGTCTTGGGACTGGTAAGATGGCTCAGAGGGTAAAGGTACTTGCTACCCAATCTGATGACTCTAGTTAGACTCCCATTCCCGCTTGGCGGAAGGAGCGAACCAGCTCTTGCAAATTTCCCTCTGAGCCCACACATGCGCTGTGGCGAATGTGCTTGAGCACGCTCCCCCCCCCCCACAAGCAAATTAACGCAATAAAAAGACTTAAAGGCTTGTCTGCTGATTGGTGTTTCCATTAAAATGATTACCCCCCCCACACACACACACACACGTAACCTCACTTACACACAGCAAGGAGGTGGAGACCATCTAACTACTTTTCTGCTCAAGCTGAGGACCCTGGCCACTCCTGGAGCCTACCCCCACACACACATCCCCTCAGGACCCTCATCATTGTAAGTCACACAGCAAGAGCCTTCACGAGTTATCCTTTGATATGTTGTAGGCAGCATCTAACCACCAGCAAGCCTCTCGTGTGCAGCTAAGGAGAGATTCCAAAGTTTTCCACGAGCTAACACCGGTCACCGCCCCCGCCCCGCCCCGCCCCCACCCCTTGTCGCCCCGCTCCCGCGCAGTTTCCTATTATGAAACTGCCTGGCGTGGACTCTTTCTCCTCCCTCTTCTTCTCGGATGCCCTGAGGGTCAGGTTGAAGCTTTTGCAGCTTTGGGCTAGGGTTCAAATACCAACTGTGCATTGGCTGCATGCAAATTTTAGTCAAAAACGTACGGCCACAAGGCATATTTTGTCTCCTTGCACCTTGCATAGTTTCCACCTGCCTCCGTCTCAGCACGAATACTGCAAGAAAAACGTTTACTGTTGCCGGTTTGGCAGAAAGAAGTGTAAATGTTATGTTAGTGGTAAGACTACTTAATCCTGGCCGAGGAGTCGCTAGGGAAGCGTGACACGAATTGACAGATGTTAAATGGCACCTGCTGTCCCCCGTGCCGCACAAACAAGGCATGTGGCTCCCAGCAGGTGAAAACACCTCTGAGGAGTGGAAGGTGGGACTGGCCTGCTATTTCTTTCACGCTCTCAGCCCAGGGCCCTGGGAACGAAAGTGGATAAGGGTTTTCGGCTTTTCAGGCTAGCAAAACACCCGCATGTCTTAGATCCTTCAGCTCTTAGTGAGTGGTTTCCTAGACTAGGCGGGAGTTTCTTCAGATTTCAGGAGGCCTTGATGACACCAGAAGTCCCCAGAGGGTGGACTCTTGGAAAGAAGACAAGAAAAGGTGAATAGCTGTTATTCTGGAAAAAGGAAGAGCAAAGGGCACTGCATGGTTCTCCCTGGGCCTTGGCACCAGTGAGGTTGAAGGGGCAAAACCAGCTGAAAAAAGACTAACGGTTTGTAGCATTAAGAACACAGATGCTGGAGCCTGCTTTCCAGGGCTCACCCTTTAATCGATGTTAAGAGGAATGTTGTGCCTTTGTCCGTTTTTCAGTAACTGCTAAGGTCCACTGAACTTGGGCACACTCTGTAAGCACATCTGAGAGAAGATGCAAATGTTGGGTATCTACCTGCGAGAAAGTAAAATCGGCATTCATTCTGCCATGCGCCAAAATACATTCTTATGTTATTGAAATTTTGACTGCACATATCGCCTGAATTGTTGTTGTTGCTTCAGTGAAATACCTGAGGCTGGACACTTTATAAAGGAAGAAGGGCTCTTTCATTCCATAGTTTTGGGATCCCAAGAATATGAAGCCAGCCTTGGTTTCTGCTGAGGGATTGACTGTGTGGCAGGAACATGTGTGAGCTGTCCCATGGATAAATAGGAAGCAGAGACAAGAGAGAGGTTAGGGTCGCTCTTTTGTGACGACCCATTCTCTTGGGAACTAATCCACTCCCATGAGATCTGGCCCTCTCCCACAAGACAGTAATAATTCATGAATTCTATGACCTAGTTACCTTCTACTGGACCCAATCTCTTTTTAAAATTTGTTACATTTTATCTATCTATCATCTATCTATCTATCTATCTATCATCTATCTATCTATCTATCTATCATCTATCTATCTATCTATCTATCTATCTATCTATCTATCTATCTATCTATCATCTATCTATCTATCATCTATCTATCTGCCTCTGTGTGTGTGTGTTCGAATGCGTGCATGTGTGGAGGTCAGAAAACAACTTTTAGGAGTTGGTTCTCTTCACCATGTGGGCCCCAGGGATCCAACTCACCTCAAGTCATCAGACATGGTGGCAGGAACATTTACCTTCTCAACCATCTCGCTGACCCTGCACCCCACCTCTTAATGAACCTGTCTCTTCAAACCTGGAACACCAGGGACCCAGCTTCTCATACATGAACTTGTGAGCCTGTGGGGCATACTGTATCCAAACCATAGCGAGTATCTTATAGTTGTTCATGGAACAGATAGGACCTCGGTCTGTGTCTTTCTTTTTTACACATCAGCTCCTCAGGCAGGGTTATCCTATTACTGAACTCAATAGAAACAGGTGGAGGCTGTCCAGCTGAAGGGATTATCCTGGAAACCGATTGGCTGGGTCTAAACCCTGTGCTTTCAGCCTCCCATCTCATCCAGCACAAGCTCCAGACACAGTCAAGGATACACCTGGAGGCTCTCCAGAGACCCTTGGAGACAATGAATCAGCTTTTTCATGAGCCACTCCGTCTGGGAAAGTCCTCAGGGAAGCCAAGTATATGGCTAAACTAGGAGCCATTTCTGTCCCAGGACTCTGGCTCGTGCCCTTTCTCTTGAGCAGTAAATTACTCTTGGCATTGAAAAAACATGCTTTGGTGACATGTTCCTGATGGCTATGGGAGGAAAAGAGTCTGGATGTCTGAGCACAGAAGCCATCACTCACTCCGAGCTCAGTCTGACCCACCTGACGCCAAGTTTGCTGGTGTGAAGATTGTCACTGACCGTGGCCCTCAGGCTGACCAGAAAAAGAATCCCCTGACTCACAGTGAGTACCATGGTGTACAACACATCTCCCCAGATGGAGCTGATGTACTCCTGACAAGCTGCTGAGGAAATTACCGCTCATATGAGCCGATGTGGCAGTGATCGGCCACTGGGTCACTTAGTGGCTGTTGCTCTATTCCCAAAGAAACCGCATTGCTCAAGGTTCCACACACACTCAGGACACAGCGGGTGCTGGGGTCAAATGTCCCATCCCACTTTCCTCAAAAGGAGGTCCCTTGGCTTTCGTAGAGTGGTGATGGAATGCTAGTTAAGAGTCGCTCTCCTCAGCTCTGCCTGTTTTGCTACCGTCCAGGTGCACCTGCCAAGATCCTCAAAGTTCACGTGAACAACTCTCCATCACAGGGTTCGTAGTCGGGACACCTCAGCTAGGCGACCTTCTCTTTGTGGATGCTGCTCCTCCTAGGGTAGTTTTGCTGGGTGTGGCGTTAATATCATCCTAGAAAAAAATGACGTGGCTTGAATTGTTAAAAGGAAAATAAATATTGTTGGATGTAGGTCTCTGACACATGTTTGACCTTACGGCCACAAAAGACCTCTAAGGGAGGCCTCAGGAGAGCCAGCAGCATCTGAAGCATCAAAACTCCGAAGCTCTAGAAACTTCCACAGGAAGTAAAGAGAAAGGCGGGTTGATGATGTGTTTCATAGCATGGATCTGTGGCATGCCAAGGGGAGCCGCTGGGGGAGGAGATGGCTGTGAGATTAGTAGAGATATGAGGGAAAGTTGGAAACAGGACAAAAAAAAAAAAAAAAAAAAAGAGGAGGCAGAGGGGACTTTCTTTAAAGATGGGAGAGTGTGTTTAATTTCCTGCATTAGTTACTTTTAAATGGTTTACTTATTTTTTTTTTTTTAAAGAGGACATCTGTTAATTTGCTGCAAGAAGCTTTGTAATTGGAGAGCTAGTGGCCTTCTACGGGATGGGAGGGTGGCTATAGATTTGTGCAGATTAAACCTCACGATGCGTGCCTGCTACAAGAAACCCCACCTGTGTGTACAATGCACTTAAAGGATTAGGGCACACTTTGAAATTATGGTATGTTTTACCTAAAGTAGCCATCTTCCCCCTTAAGCTTTTATTTCCTTGGGAGGAGGGAGGAGACAACCGCCTGCCTCTCACAGGCTATAGGGCCCAGCGGGTACTCTGTGGGCCTTCAGGAAGGCTGATGCGCAGGGGGATGGGGTGTGCTGTTTACATGTGTGTTAGCGCAGCAGTGACAGAACTTACCTTCCCCACTTGCCATCCCACTTCAGAGACCGCATGTCTTCGTGGTGGCATAGCTGGGATTCTGTTTCAGTCACTTACAAGAAGTTAATAGGACTTTAGGCACAGGGGACAAGTTTAGGAGTGAGAGGGCCAGGGAAGACAGGAAAAGGGACTTCTTGAAAATTGCTGTGGTCACCCTGTTCCCTTGGGGGGTCACTCAATAAATGAAAAGTCTTCATTTACACAGAAAACTACGTATTTTTAGTTTTGAGATTTTTTTTTTCTTTTGAGACAGGACTTCACGTAGTAGGTCAGCCTCGAACTTCCTATGTAGCCAAAAAATGACTTTGAACTTTTGCTCCCACTGCCTCCACCTTCTGAGTACAGCAGCAACACTGATGAAGGCTGATTATTTAGCTCAGGTAGAGAAGTCTTTCCCTCCCTTAGATTTACCAGTACAGGAGGAGAGGCCACTACTGAAAGAATGGCCCTCATTGGCTACCTTGGTCCTCATTGCCACTTTGATTGATTTTGGTGGCCAGTCCAAGGGGCTGCAAGAACATGGTCCCTGGGAAATGCACCGATAAGGAACCAGTTTGGAAGAATCTGAAAACCACACGCAAGTGTCTAATAAAAACATAGAGGCTTTATTTTAAAAACACTCATCTGCTGCACAAAAAAAAATACATAGAAAAATAAAGTTTGGTTAGAGTACTTTACCAGACTTCAGCTCACAAACTCATCTGCTGCAGATCAGAGTGGAGTTTGCTAACTGACTTATGAAACAGGATGGAGACGGGTCGCCCCCGTGACATGGTCCAAGGCACCATCCCCTTCAGAGGGTCGAGACAACAGATTCCATGTCAAATATTTTCTGCCAGTTCAGGTGTGAGTGAATGACTAGTTCCAGTGGGTAGGAAACAAGATGGAGTCAAAATATTTTAAACACACACCTTTTCTTCCTTCCTTTTTTTTTTTTTTTTTTGCCACACACAATGCACTATAGTCTTTTAATCCCAGGTGAAGTGCGTGCCGAAAAGAATTCAATTCAGAAGGAGAGGAGAGAGAAAGCCAGCACTAACTGATGAGCTTCAAAAGATGGATAAGAAGGAGAAGGGAACCAGCAGCCTCTGCCTTTTGTGTGGTCTAGCGCTGCCCCAGTGGTCAGCAGCAAGCAGCAGCAAGCTATCCTTATTTAACAGGGAACCTGCGGCCTGGGCGGGAAGGAAGAATGGGGTGCAAGCGGCCAACTTTCTATCAACTCCCTTTGGCAGTTTTGCCACCAGCAGTAAATTGGCCCGTTTAGAAGGAGGAAATTAAAAAGATTTCTCACGGCACAGAACTGAGTGGCGGGATAAAGGGATTTCCTGGCCCCAGAAAGCCTCACTTGTAATAGCTGTGCCCCCACCTCCCGAATCTCCCCATCTTACAGGTTACCTGAGCTAACAGGATGGAAATGGAAAGGCAAGCTTTTCTCTTTTCCACTCTTTTTAGCATTTTAGGTGAGTCATCGAACTCAGTTCTCCAAGCTTTGCCACAGTTTATCTGAGCATGGAGGCCGCTGCAGGGATGGTGCTCTTGGAAGACAATTTCCCCTCCCCCGCTTGCTGGTTGGCCTGGGCTGACAGCCATGGACCCCCGCGTCTTTCCTAGACCCCTTTATCATAACAGCCCTTCATTTTGGACTTAACCTCCTCTGCCTCTGAGGATCCCAGGACCCCAAGGCTGTGAGTCTCTGAACACACAGCCCTCAGAAGCCTCACAAAAGCTGCTCTGATTGTCAGCTCTCGCGTCTTTAAATAGGGATTCGATGGTGAGGGTTTTCAAAGGAAAGAAGCAAGAGCGGCTAGTTTGTTGCTTTTTAATTACGTTTTTTGGTCAATTTATGATCTGTCTGTAGTTAGTTTTTTTTTTTTAAAACCAGGAAAGCTAAAACTTGAGAGTGGGGGAGCAGATCTTTGGCTAAATAAGTTAGGCACGCACAGATTAAAAGCCTGAACTGAGATGTCTTGTAGGGAAGAGAGGGGGAAAAAAAGAAAAGAAAAAGAAAGAAAAGAAAGGAAGTGTGAATTCAGCTCCTAACTCAAGTTCTCACGTGAAGACAGAAAGGGTGGGCAGAGGCCTTTTCTTTACTAAGTCCTGACTGAGGCGCTCACCTGGAGTGGGGAAAGCCCCTTAGGCCCTTGCCTTGGACAGGTAGATCCTGTTTTGAGGCCCACCCCTGGAGGCAAACAGTTTACACAGCTTGTCTGGAACCCCCTCTCTGTGTGCACCCTGCTCCACTCGGCAGCCCTGTAAATCCTTGAAGTGGTGTACCTATTGCAAACCCGGGGAGAGGTTAAAAGTCCCACCTCCCACCCGCTTGTGTTGCAGGCCGACCTGCCTCAATCGCTCATGTCTGTTTTTACTTCTTCAAATTTCCCATTTGCCCTCACTTTTACAAGGGCAGAGAGAACCCCTGGTCATTGTCCAAGGCCAACAAGAGACTTTTTCACCCGAGTTTAATTCAAGAGGACATCCTCATCTAAGGGGGCCGTCACCCCTTTGTTTGGGCTCTTCTGTGAGGCGCAGTTACTGGAGAGGATGGAGTTTGCAGCAAAAGACATCTTAGGACCCGATGTGGCCGTTGCAGCCAAAGTCACTCTCAGTTCTAGAAACAGAAGGACTTGTCTGGCTCTCTCCAAACAGGGAGCAGAGAGTGGTGACCTACAGAACACTTGAAACTGTGACTAGATACTAAAAATAAGCCACTGCCCCAGGTCTTTCACTGGCCCTCCAGAGAAGAACTGGAATATTCCCTGGGAACCCCCAACTGGTTTGGGTCTGCACACTTCTTGCTCCCGACTCCTTGACCTCAGCCATTTTGGCGTTTTTTTTTGTTTTTTTGTTTTTCCCCCAGAGACCCCAGGGGAAGGAAGTTTCTGATCTATGAACTTGCCCTCTGAACTGCTGTTACCAGAAAGTTGGACGCCAGCTGCCCAGACAATAAAGGTATGGGTAATAGGGGTAGCTGGTGTACATGGAAACCAAGGAGGCGCTAGACAGGCTGTCTTCTTTCAGCGCTGGCAAGGACAGAGGCGAGGTCTTCTCCAAGACTCCCAGGTCTTCCGACAGCTGCTTTCGCTTAGTCTTATAGCGTCTGTTCTGGAACCATATTTTCACTTGGGTTTCGGTGAGCTTGAGGTTCTTGGCCAGGTGAGCCCTTTCAGGGGCAGACAGGTACTTCTGATGGCTGAACTTCCTCTCCAGCTCGATCACCTGAGTGTGAGAGAAGGCAGCCCTGGAGCGCTTCTGAGGCTGCTTGGGGATCTGGGGGGTACTTGATAAGTCGCCTGAAGTGTGTTCACAGTCCAACAGATAGGTCTGGAAATGCCCAACTGGAGAAGGACAGAGGAGGAGAGAATGAAAAAAGTTACATGTTAGCCCAGAATTCAATTCTGCTTTCAGCCGCCAAACAAACAGCCCACTGTCATCTTGGATACATTTCTTTTTTTTTTTTTTTTTTCCTTGCCCAAAGGAGAAGTAAGTAGGTTTTTATACTATGTATTTGTTTCTAATAATCAGTGTGTTTCACAGTTAAACTTTCTGCCACGTTATGTCATTGAAACCGGGATCCTGGCTGTGTGTAGCAAAGAAAGGTGGGAAACAGGAACAGAGAAAGCGAGGCATCACGGGGACTAACAAAGGCTTGTGGGGATAAGCCAGTTCATCTTCTTCCCAAACCCAATCCCCTCTCTGTAACTGCGGCTTAGTTTCATGAGAACTGATTGGGGGCGGGGGTGAGGGACAAAAGGCGACTCGACATTATTCTAAAGACCTGAAGGGACATTCATAATTTTATGGCTCGTGGAATGGAGACGCAAAGGGAGCCTGGGGGATGGGCTTGATTTATGAATATTAATGGATTTGTTGTTGCTGTTAGTTCTAGTCGCCACTGGCTGGAGTCGCTAGAAAAAGAGTCAAGCCGATGGCAAAGTTGTTAGCGGCCCTCAAGGTTGATGCCAAAGGTGGTTTGATGCCGAGGAGGGTGAAGTCCCTCCTGTGGCCATGAGCCCCATATGCCTGCATTCAGAGCTCGGGACCACCAACGTGGGAGCAGTCTTATTCCAGGGCAGCCCGCGCCCGCCTCCAGGTCTATTCCGCTTACCAGTCTCAGGTTCAGCCGGCGTCTCTGCAGAGCTGGGTGGGATATTTGGCGGGTCCCCTAGAGCCACGCCACGACCTCCTGCTTCCTCAGGCTCCTGAGCGGGTTCCCTTCTCGGGTCTGGTTGGCGCTGATGCTGCGGGCTGCTCGCGTGTCCCCCGCGCCGTTCCGCGCGGTCCCGCAGGATGTCCTGAATGAGGAAGGAGGTGAGCCGCTTAGACTGCGAGGGTGGCGCTGCCCAGGGACCGCGGCCACCCGACTCCACCCGCGCATCTCGGGGCTCCAGGGTCCTGAGCATCCCGACTCTGCCGTGCGTCGCTTTGCTTTACCCTGGCCGCGCGCACTTATAGCCTTGGGGAGAGCCGCGCAGCTTGCCCATTGGCCGCAGGAACACTGCTGCGCCCCGATTGGCTACCACGGGCTCCAGGTGACCCTGAAGAGGCCAGTCCTGAGCCTGACAGGCTCCAGAGTCTTTCCTTGATGCGCCCTTAGCTTTCCCTGGTCCCTCCCTCTCACCACAAGCAGCTCAAGCCCTTTCTGCAGTCTGGACATAAACCCCAAACACTTATTGTAAAAGCGATGCGGAAGACCTGCGTGTAGCTCTCAAGAGGCTGTCAAAGCACGGTGGCCCACCGAGCTGAGCAGGCAGGTATCTGCCGCCTACCCTAATTGTGTTAATAACAAGAGAAATTGACAGCAGAGCCAGATCTACTGAATCTAAGGCTGTCCTAGGTCTGGTAGCCAGGTAAACGCTGGCACCACCCTGGATTCCCGGCTGGACACATCTGGACAACCAGCAAAAATCTAGTAGGGAAGGACAAAGTAGTATGGCAATGTCACATTTACTGAGTTGACCATGTACTGTGACCCCAGGAAAGAACATTCTTAAGAAATAAACCCTCAAGTCGGGTGTGGGCAGCTCATGCCTTTAATGCCATCAAAGCGAGGCAGAGAGTCGAGGCCAGACTGGTCTATATAGCGAGTTCCAGGACAACCAAGGTTGCATAAAGAGACTCTATCTTAAACAATAACAACAGCAACAACATCGCACACACCAAAAAAAAAAAAACCCCACAAAAAAAATGAAAAAGGAAACAAACACTCAAGCCCAGACTCACTTTGTACGTCACTGAGATGTCACAGGGTTCGGAACAATGCTCTGGACTATAAAAGGAATGGGCTAAAACACTATTAACATTCAGTGTGAATTAGGAAAGCCTACGCTGATGTTCTTTCGAATTACTTTGTGCAGCTTGTATCTACAGTGTTCTAAGGAAGCTCCCACTCACCTGAAATCCGATCAGATGGCTTCACTGTAGATCTGAGAGGAGGGAAGGGGAACAGGTTGCTGAGAACGCGGCAACTGCCCAGGGGAACCGAGATGAGTAACCGAAAGGTCTTGGGAAAAGCTGCTTTCCTCTTGCATTTTACCTAGACTATTTTCCTTTAATTTTA